GGTAAGAGAGTCTCCAACGATGTTGAGGAAACTATGATCTTTACCATTCACCCACAAGACACTACAGGTTGAATCTCTCTAGTCTGGCACTCTCTCATCTGGCACAATCCATAGTCTGGCATAATTTTAGTTAACCAGATGTCCATTTATCAGGTGGCTAAATTTCCCCATAAAGTTTGAGTCCTCAAGTGTTCTGTGCTGTTATTTAGCTCTAATTTACTCCTAAATGTCTTCTAAGGGTACAGTAAGCAGTGGAAGTGTTGGTAAGCAATATTGACCTCCCGTGGTTTAGCAAATTCTCTGGTTCGGCACTGGTCAGGTCTGGATGGTATGGGACTAGAGGTTCAACCTGTTGTCATTATTAGTATTAGAAGGTCACTCTAAGCCAGGAGTGGGCAATAATTTTTTTTTGGGGGGGGGGCACTTTACACATTTCTGAAGTGGTCACAGGCCACCCCAGAAGTGGCAGGGCCTTGGGCAGAAGAGGCAAGGCCAGGAGGCTTGCCATACTCCCCTGCCCACAGACCCTGATTGGCCCAGGGGAGGGGTGATCATGTTAAGTCTTTGCCTCCCACCTCCCAGTGCCTAGAGAGAACCACCAGCTGTTTGGAACACATAACAGATTCAAAACAGCTGGCAATTCCCTCTGGTACCGTGTGCCCCTGGTGGGGGAGGAGACTTTGCATGCTTCCGTTTCCAGGTCTTGATTGGCCCGGGGGCAGTGGAGCAGCAGGGGAGCCATGGGGCCAGATCAACTGGCTTGGCAGGCTGGATCTGGCCCGCAAAGGCTGTCTTGCCCACCCTTGCCCTAAGCATACTTACTGTATTTGCCTTTCTGACCACTACTGCTAGAACGTTATTGGTAAAACAAGTACTACAGTCTTACCAGGAATGTGAAATGTACTATTTGCCACAGTGTCCCACTAATTTATGCACACTAGAATAAATGCATTTTCTTTTAAATTTACAATATTGCTCTTGATATGAGAAACACGTATGAGAAAAACATTTTTACTAACAGTAGAAGCCCCTAAAAGAAGGAATAAAAAAATCCTTAAAAATGAAGTGAGTGGATTAAATGTTCAAGATATTTGTATTTAGTCTATTTTAAAAATAACTAGTGAAGAATTAGAAAACAGTGCTGTCATTCTTAAAAGCAGTTTATTTTTTTAAAGTGAACATGTGTAGCAAGCATACCCTGAGAACTACAAATCAGTTACAACTACTGACAAAGAAACATTTTCACTGCATTGCAGAAATATTTATAACAGCACATTCTTCCCATTTAGAGATAATATGGTAAGGTTAAAAACCACACTTAGCTTGTAGGTTCACTCATTTTTCAAGAGTGTAAAATCTGGACTCAGCAGCTCTCAAATGAAAGTGAATGTGTGAGGGGGAAGGGAAGCAACGAAGGAGAAAATTTAATCCAGGGGCTGGCAAAATACCACTCAGGGCAACATTTGGATCTGGCTAGCCACAGCCCAGTGGGATCCTCAGGCTGGCTCCCTGCCTACCACAGCCCCACACACTTCTCAAAGCAGCTGGCTGATGGGAGTGCGTATTTCTATGCCCTTTGGGGGAGGGAGAGTCTCTGTGCTCTGCTCTCCACCTCCAGGACCATAATTATAGCCTGCCATGGACCAGGAATCGGTAAATGGGAGCTGCAAGTGTGATGCTTGTGGCCGCATGCAGTTTGCAGAGACCTGCTGCTCCTTTCCCCCATGAGGCACGACACACAGACACAGACACACTGTTCCCAGCAGCCGGCAGCTTTGAGCGGTGTGAGCCTCAGGCTGTGTGCCTCATGTCTACGGTAAGCTCCTCCCAGCCAAAGCTTGTACCTGGTATCCTATCCTCTTATGCATCCCATCTCTCTTCCCCAGGTCTCAACTCCCTTGTGCACCCAAACCCTCTGCACCTCTGTCCCAGTCCCATTCTCCTCCTGCACCCAAACTCCCTCCCTGCCCCTGCAACTGCTCCTGCACCCCTGCCCCAGGTTACAACCCTTCCTGGACCCAAACTCCCTCCCATATCCTGCATCCCAACATCCTACCCAAAACTCCCTCCTGTACCCAAACTCTGTCTTACACCCAGCATCCCCCCATTAATATCACAGAAAAGTTTGGCCCTTGACCACTTACCAAATTCTTTGAGTGGCTCCCCTGCAAACATTTTACTCACTCTTGGTTTAATCCATTTGTTGGATATACAGGTTACACACTGAAGCATCTTTTCATCCTACTTTCATGATTCAAATGAAAGGCTGAGATCGTTTATAGCCTCATACCAGTGTTTCCATGTTTAGCTTTCAAATAGATGTACAGGCAGTCCCCGGGTTACGTACAAGATAGGGACTGTAGGTTTGTTCTTAAGTTGAATCTGTATGTAAGTCGGAACTGGCGTCCAGATTCAGCCGCTGCTGAAACTGATCAGTTTCAACAGTGGCTGAATAAGCAGAGCCAAGCCGCGGAGCGCGTGGGCAGCGGATAACCCTGTCCGCTGCCCGCGGG